TGTACCGTAAATGTTATGGGGAAAGCCAATAAATGTAATGCTGATCAGGATGATAGTTGTGTTAGCAAATGCTTGTCAGCAAGCTAGCAAGCCAGCTTGTTGATCTGAAAGATAAACAAATTAAAGCTGCACACACACACACACACACACACACACACACACACACACACACACACACACACACACACACACACACACACAGGTTGAACTAGAATGTACAGAACTTTATATGCCTATTCACATTTTAAAAGGGGCAAGCTGCATATTGCACGTTGAAATTAGCAGATTATTCTCACAAACCTTTTAAAATACATTTTATCTCAGTGTTTCAGAAACTTGATGGATGGCCTAGGAAAGACATGGCTACTGAATCCAGTGAAGGTGACGAACACAAAAAAGGTAAAGAATGTGCTATCCATTGCACTACTAGGAGGTGGCGATATAAACCCTTTCTTCCATCAATCATCATGGGAAACATCAACTCTCTGCCCAACAAAAGCGATAGGCTGGAGATATTGGTGGAGACTGAGAAAGCATACCGTGAGTGCAGTTTCCTGTGTTTTACTTAAACCTGGTTGAATCAAAACAACTCAGACTCCAGTGTGGATCTACCTGGCTTCACTCTCATAAGGTCAGACAGAGATGCTCAAGCTAGTGGCAAGAAGAAAGCAGGAGGTCTGGCTTTATTTGTCAACCAGAGATGGTGTAACCCTTCACACATAACTGTCAAGGAGAAGTTGTGTTGTCCAGATATTGAACTGTTGGCAGTTACTCTTTGGCCATATTATGTTCCAAGAGAATTCAGTCATATCATAACAGTAGTTGTTTATATTCCACCTAAATCAACGGAAGAATGTTGCAATGTTTAGCAAAATAGTGTTGCCAGGCTACAGACTCAACACCCTGAGGCACTAATAATAATATCAGGAGACTTCAACCATGTCACCCTCTCCTCTCACCTGACTGGATTCACACAGTTTGTGAACTGTCCTACCAGAGAAAACAAAACACTGGATCAAGTCAGATCATAACTTGGTCTATCTGCAAACCTGTTACAGACTTTGTCCCTCATTTATCAAGCTTGCGCAGATCTGAGTGCAGGATTCATTGTACGATAGGACACACGTGAGATTTATGAAAGGGTTTGTATCTGACCAATCCCAGCGTACGTATGATCGGGTCTTGATAAATGCGGCGGCTGAAATCGATCGTCATTAACATGTCACGTCCTTAAATATTCGTGGTTCAGAAGCCTCGCCCACTGAGATCAAACATGAAAGAGGAGAAATATCAGAAAGATGTGAAACTTTCTCGAGCTGAAAGTGGATATCCTCACATCTGTGGTGGAAACTAACAAGGATTTTCTCTTTGGAAACATCAAAACTGGTATAAAAGCAGTCCAGAAAACTCCTGTCTGGAGCAGGATTATGGTGGCGGTGAACAGCGCTGCCATGGAATAGCAGACAGTGGCTGAAGTTTAAATAAATCATTAGTCAATAAGTTGCTCATGATGATGAATTAATATCTCATACATGCCTCATATTTTTAATTGCCATGACATAGGGTATGTTGCTCCTATTGTTGAAAGTATTTAGTTTTAATTTGTTGCGTCTTAGTAATATAGAGCAGACCGGAGAGTCTGACAGAGGCTGAACAAAAATAATTATTAACCTCACCAAACGGTGTGTTTCTTCCCCCTGAGGCACATTTTTATGGATTTGTATTGGATTTTCAGTGCTGAATAAATAGCAAGAGCACTTTCTAAACTGATACTTTACATGTCAGAATCCATCGATAAGGTCCTGTCTCCTCTGTACAGCACCTTTGTGGAGTCTCTCCTCGTTATTGTTCTCCAGGCATCGGGTCCTCACGTTGCACTGGCACAGCCAACGGCACTCCATTCTCCAGTGCAACATTGTGCAAAACTGTACTGACCCAAATGATATCCCACACCCTTTCAGGAGTGTACAACAACGTCCCCGCTGCTGGCCCAAGACAGAGACACCTGCCTTTTAGAAGTCAAATGCAGTGCTCCACAGTGGCGCGTCCTTCTCCATCTTGTTCAAATGCTCAACTACTTCAACTGCCTCCCTCCTAGAACACCAGTCCTTGTCTGTCACCCAAACAGGGGTGAGGATGGAGCTTGGAAGACTTTGTCCTGGGAAGGCAGCTGGTTCAGATGGTGTGTCCAAGGTTGCGTGGAGACTGTGCTGCAGAACTGTCAACCTCTCCACAAGATCTTCAACCTGAGTCTACAGCTGGGGCAGGTACCTACTCGATGGAAAACATCCTGCATTGTGCCAGTACTAAAAACAAAATGTCCTGCTGAACTCAATGACTACAGACCAGTGGCCCTCACTGCACACATCATGAAAACCCTGGAGCGGCTGATTCTACGCCTTCTGAGGTCTGAGGTCAAAGACAAACTGGACTCCCTGCAGTTTGCATACAAAGAACACATTGGAGTGGATGAAGCTGTCCTCTACATGCCCTGTCTCATCTGGAGGAACCTGGGGTTTATGTGAGGATCATGTTCTTCTACTTTTCAAGTGCATTCAATACCATCCAACCCACCATACTCAAAGACAGGCTCGCAGAGATGGGAGTGGATCCTTCCTGTGTTTCCTGGATGGAAGATTACCTGACAGGAAGGCCACAGTTTGTCAGGCTGGGGAACTGTATTTCTGGGACATTAATGAGCAGTACAGGGGCTCCACAAGGGACAGTGCTGGTGCCATTCCTGTTCACACTGTGTACGTCAGACTTCAAATCCAGTACTGAGTCCTGCCACATCCAGAAATACTCAGATGACACCGCTATTGTGGCATGTATCAGAAATGAACAAGAAGCTCAATACAGAGATCTAATAAGAGCCTTCAGTGACTGGAGTCACAAAAACTGCCTCCTCCTCAACACCTCAAAGACAATGGAGATGGTCATAGACTTCCGTAGATCCAAACCAGTGAACACCTGTGGAGTGGACATTGAAGTGGTGACATCATATAAATGTCTAGGTGTACATCTGGATAATAAGTTGGACTGGTCTAAGAATATAGACTTCATCTACAGAAAGGGGCAGAGCCTGAGAAGACTCCGATCAATAGACATCTGTAGTAAGATGCTGCAAATGTTTTATCAGTCTGTGGTGGCAAGTGTTCTGTTCTACGCTGCAGTCTGCTGTGGAGGAAGCATCAAACACAAAGATGCAAGAAGTCTGAACAAACTGGTGAAAAAGGCTGGCTCTGTGGTAGGACTCAAGCTGGACTCAGTGGAGGATGTGGTGGAGAGATCTACACTGAGGAAGGTGGAGTCTATTGTGAAGAACATGGATCACCCACTTCACAACACCTTGATGGACCAAAAGGCCATGGTGGTGGACAGCAGGACAGAACGATTCATAAGATCTTTTTTACCAACAGCCATCAGGCTTTATAATTTTTATGTAAATAATGGATAACTTTAAACTTTTATAGACAAATTATATGAGACAACAGACAATTGAATTTCCCTTCGGGAATCAAAACAGTTATTCTTATTCTAAAACTTATTCTTATTCTGGAGTCTTGATCAAATCCAGACAAAATTCTGCATATTACAACATGCATATAAAAATGTGTGTATTTCCAAAATTATAAGGGCTACAGGCATAAATTTGGTACCTGTTGAAAAGTAAGACTTGTCAGATTTCAAATCCAGTGTCTAAAATGATGCAAATATTACCCAATTGCTCTGCTGAGAAAAGATACACAAGAGAAAAATAAAAATGCTATTTCTGCCTATGAATATTTTTTTTAAAAGAAGGCTATTAAAGTCTTAATTTTATCTGAACAACAAATCAAAACATTTTTTTTTTCAGTTCTCCAATGACTTAGGAATAAATCAGAATGATTTAGGGGGGCAGAGCAGTCAACAAGTATTCCACAAGCCCCATAATAGCAAAAAAGCACCATACGAAATTCAGGTATTTCTGCTACAGGACTCCATAGATTAAATGCATGATAACCATCACTGAGCTACTAGTCTGCAAGGGTCATCATGCTAAACCATAAACTAGGGATGTGGAGCAAATCAAAAAAAACAAACTAGAAATTGCCCACCCGATTTATTGCGATGGGTCATTTTTGGGGGTCTTGGCTCATGGACTATATAGAGTGGCTTTTTGGTTGAAGTCTGTTTATGGCTCCTCAGACCACTGTGTAATGTGTGGTTGTTACGAAAGTTGGTACAACTAGAGAAGCAACATTTATCTCTCAAGGGGGTGTCTAACTTGGTGTTACAGTGTGTTTGACCCTAAATTAATTTTACACCGGAATATCCCTTTTAAATGGGGCGGCAGTAGCTCAGGAGGTAGAGCGGTCGTCCAATAACTGGAAGGTTGGCGGTTCGATTCCCCCCTAACCCAAGTCTGTCCGTTGTGTCCTTGGGCAAGACACTTAACCCACCTTGCTCCCAGTGTGTGTCCTCCACTGGTGTATGATTGTGAGTGTTGTGTGGTGGTGGTCGGAGAGGCCGTAGGTGCAAAATGGCAGCCACGTTTCCGTCAGTCTGCCCCAGGGCAGCTGTGACTACCAAGGTAGTTTACCACCACCAAAGTGTGACTGTATGAGTGAATGAATGATGTATCCAATGTAAAGCGCTTTGAGGGTCTCTGATAAAGCGCTATATGAAATCTGATGCATTGTTATTATTATTAAATGTCTGACTTTAGCACAAACCAACGGCCAAAGTGTAACAGTTGGCTGTTTTCAATTGGATGGTTTTTTATGTTAACAGCTATTATTATAGTTTCTCTACTGCGCATGCGTAGGCATTCCTGTCGTGTCTCCAGATCGCTCTGTTTTAGACCAAGATTTTAACCAGTATATGAACACCTTTTAAGTTGTTTTCTTCGATATCTGGTTTTATTTCCCTTTTACTTTTAATGAGTGTGAGTAAATGATAATTGGTTCACTAACTCGTGAGCCTGCTGGCACAAACTCCATGTTTTCCCCTGTGAAACTATGACTCCACTCACCTCACCGACTGGCTGCCAGAGCTGTGCCAAAAATCAGCAAGAGAATCACCGAACACAGGAACACAGAATTTTCAATCTCTACCAAATCCAGGATGCCGAGAAACAACTGGACACAATTCTCTTTGGCCCAGCAACAAAATCCTCCAGTGCAGGTGAAATGGATAATACAACTCCCTACGATCCCTCACCGGCCACTGCTGCTCCTGTCTTGTCCTCTGACCAAGCTCCAGATGTTGCTGCCACGAACTGCTGGCTCCGGCTTGGTGCCAAGCCAAAAGCCCTGGTTAGCTCCACGCCAACACACCCCGAGCCCCAGCTCAGAAGGAGGGGAGGTAATATCTCTCTGCAACGCACTGATTGCCCTGTGATCCAGCTGCAGAACAGGTACGATATTTTCAACTTTGACGAGTTTCCTGCCCTGGATGGCAACTCATGGCGGCCACCGGCTCCCAGGGAATCAGAGAAGTCCCGTGGTGCTTCCCGCTCGCAGGCGTCCTCCAGCCAACCTGGTGGACTGGACGGTCGCCCCTCTACCAGCCGCTCTCTGCCTAACTTTACTCCATCTTCGCAGGGCTTGTCCTGTGGTTGTTCATCGGGCTGTTCTATATCACCTTCAATGGTTAAAACTCTGGTTCCCTCTGCTGGTATTACCGAACTCCCAGCCCTATCCATCCTCAGCTGTGGCTCCCCGAGATGTCTCACCTCCAAGGGTAGTCTGCACTGAATGGCGCCTCAACTGGTTCGAAGCGCCGGGGGATGCTTAAGGTGGCCTTCATTAGACACTCTGGGGATCTCTCTTGGGAAAGGTCTCCCCCCTCCCCATGCGCCCTCAACCACCTTCCCTGGCACAATCAGCGTACCCAGTTAGCTCCCCTACATTGGTTGCACGTCCAGCCCCTTGGCCGCTTTTCTCTCCCTCGACGCTGATAATTGGTGACTCCATAATCAGGAATGTGCGTTATTTTAATGCCTTTACGCAGTGCTTTCCTCGTGCCACAGTCTGTGAAATCCACAAAAAGCTCCACAAATTACTACCCTCAATTGTCAGGGTTATAATCCACATTGAAGCGAATGACATGTCTCTCCGGCAGTCTGAGAAGACCAAGTTGGATTTTAATCTTCTGCTTAGTTTCCTGAAGCAGTGTGGCAGTGTGGTCCGATTGCTGCCGTTGGCCGCCCTTTTCACTTCAGGAGACTTCTTAGCCTCCAAGAATGGCTACAATCTGCTTGTAGGTCCCATGACATTGGTTTTATTGACAATTTTAATTTAATCTGGGAACGAGTTTCACCCTTCAAAGCTGACGGAATTCATCCAAACAAACTAAGCGCTTAAATGCTAACCGCCAACATACAGCACGCTGTAAAGACATTTCCATGTGATTGTGTGTGTTTACACTCCACACCAACTCCCCAGTCCCCTCCTCTCTAGTCTCATCTCAGGTAAATGTTTTCAGCGCCAGCTCTCCCTATTGTCCTTCTCCGGCAATTAGTGAAGTCCCTAAGCCCAAAAAATAAGCTGTGAACTTCAAGTCATGATACAAATATCCCCTTCGGTATGGAAGTACCTTAGGGTCATAGGAAACATTTTATCCAAAGAGACAAGTTAGATCACCCTTCAATTTTTTTTAATAGCCATTTTAAAAATGGCCGCCGACAATAAACCGCTTATACACCAGACCCCATATCTTTTCTTCTGTTGGAGCTATAATCATAATATTGGTGTCAAAGTGTACATTTTTGAGGTCTAGGAATTCAATTAAATAGGTTTCAATCCAAAAAACCCAATGCATCATTGATTACCATGACAGCGGGGGGTAAAATATGCAAATTTCATTATAAAATGTATGTTTTAACAGGGTAACCTACCCCCCCCCCCCCCCCCCCCCACACCCACACCCACACCCCTCCCCTAAAGTGAGATTTACTGTTCCTTTGGCATGGAAGTACCTTAGGGCCATAGGAAACATTTTATCAAAAGAGACAAGTTAGCTCACCCTTCATTTATTTTATAGACATTTTAAAAAATGACCACCGACAATACACCACTATTACACCAGACCCCATATTTTCGCTTCTTTGAGAGCTATAATATTAATATTAGTGACAAAGTGTACTTCTCTGGGATCAAGAAATCCATATGAAAAGGTCTCCAGACTAAAAAATATATAGTCTTCTCATTACCCTCACAATGGGGGTAAAATATGCACATTTAATGAACAAAACAAGTGTCAAAAAGGTGACTTAAAAAATGCCCCTCTAAAAAAGAAAAAGAAAAAAGAAAAAAAGAAAAGAAAAATGATACAGCCTCTTATGTACTCTATGGGCTCTATTTTCGTGCCTCGCTGGAGACGTGCCGCAGGCGTGGCGTAAGTCAGGTCCGCCGCGCCGACAAGGCGTTCCCAAGCACAATTTGGTATTTTGGTGAGCGGCACAGCCCAGCGTAAGTATCCCCCCTCCCTAACTCAGCTCCTCCCAGCGGCGTAAGTCGTAGGAAGGGAGGAGAGAGGGCGTGGAGTGGGTTTAACACAGCCGAGACCTGTTTTCACCAATCACAAAAGCTCCTCTCCTTGCCTTTAAATCCGCCACCGGCTAGGCGTAGTACAATTTTCGGGAAGTAGTCAAAGAGATCAAGACAGATATGCCACATGATGGTGACAGAAGGCAGCTCCTCAACAAGTGTCACTGTTAGCGCTGCATTGGGCATCCTCCACACTCTCTCATCTGAGCACAGATGGATTTGGTGTGTGAAATGTTGGACCGACTGGTAAGACAAACACATTTTTCCACAAATAAAGACACTCACATAAAGTTGCATATATTCAAACCTCACGTGACAAAGGTGGGTTGAGCTCCAAAAATGGCATTAAAATTGGAACCATCTGTGCGTAAATGATGCATCGTGCTCCGTGGCCTGGCTCTTTCTTTCATAGATGTTGGCATATAAAATAAATTCGGCTCACAAAACTGAATATTATAATATCCGCATGTAGGCTTAAAGTAAATAACTCATCTGATCACTGAAACAAATCATCTGTTCAGCCGCTGCAGGACGGAGAGAGGACACGGAGACATGTCCAGGTCGAGCTGCACAAGAAATAAGAGGAAGAAAGAAAAGGAGGGAGACGAATCACATATCTTGTTAACTTCATCATGTGTGTTTATTTACTAGATATTTAATTTAATGCGGTTTCAGCTGTGTTGATTTGGTCAGGTTGTGTGTCCAAACGCGTGCCAAATGCGCTCATCAGAGCAGATATAGATCAGAATATATCTATATAGATCTAAATGTATGTGCTAACTCAGATTATTAGTTGTTGATGATTAGTTATTGCACTGAAATGTGCCTGACACTGTGGAAACCTGCCGGTGAGGCATCGGTGACGTATGGCGATACGCCGCCGGTCTTCCAAAATACCTCTAGACCAGCTGCGTTTCGCTTGCGCTGAAAGCTGACCAGGTTTGAATCGGCGAGCTTTCAGTGCACTTTACATGCCACTGGCGAGCACGAAAATGTCACTGCGCCCGCTGATTCTGTCGACACCTCCCCCTGCCACGCCACCACGCCCAGCTTGGCGGATCTCGGGTCGCCTCCGTGCGCTTCAGTCCACGAAAATACCAAACTGGCCTTACGCCGAAAATACAACTGCGCGGGGTCCGCCACCCTCCGTCGCCTCACCGGCGTACACGAAAATAGAGCCCTATGTGTCTCTGTCTGACTGCATTTGTATCTGTCTGTATGACTGCTGAGTGTTACACCTCTCGTAGCCAGTTGCTGCCACAAAACATGAATTCTATACCAGGGTCTGTGACAGCTGGATGAAATCAGAGGTGACAGAAAATCTGAGACACTTTGAGGTTCAGTTTGAGGTTTGTATTACTTTCCTATTTAATACAGAAGATACTCAAGAGATACTCAAGAGAAGTTTTATAAGTGGTGGAGAAAGTTTACAGGAGAGTCCTGAGTGATCAGTGTGCGATGCAGCATCCTGCCTTTGTCCGTGGGGCGCTGCACCTAAAAGCGCACAGCTTACGAACACTTTACGCCCGGCTTTTTGCAAAGCTGGGAAATGTAGTCTTTGGAAAGATTGATGCCAATCGATTCAGTAGCTTCTCCCCTTTCAAATGACTACAGACATGGTTGACTTGTCTTTTTGGATAAAATGTTTCCTATGGTCCTAAGATACTTCCATACCAAGGGAAACGTAAATCTACGTTTAGGGGAAGGGGTGGGGGGGTAAGTTACCCTGTTAAAACGTACATTTTATAATGAATTAGCATATTTTACCCCCCGCTGTCATGGTAATTAATGATGAATTGGGTTTTTTGCATTGAAACCTATTTAATTGAATTCCTAGACCCCAAAAATGTGCACTTTGACACCAATATTATCATTATAGCTCTAACAGAAGAAAAGATATGGGGTCTGGTGTATAAGCGGTTTATTGTCGGCAGCCATTTTTAAAATGGCTATAGAAAAAAATTGAAGGGTGATCTAACTTGTCTCTTTCGATAAAATGTTTTCTATGACCCTAAGGTACTTCCATACCAAAGAGGACATTTGTATCATGACTTGAAGTAAAATGTGTCTTAGGGCCCCAACTAAAAGACTCCCATCTTTTGCATCCTTTGGCCAGGGCCCAGCTGATCCTAGTGAGAGGTCTGTACCCCTCAGGATGGTGCCCGCACCATTTCAAATAAAACTTTTATTCTGAATGATTTATTCAAGTCTAAAGGCTTGGATTTTTTATTCCTGACTGAGACTTGGCAGAGGAAAATGGAGAATGGCCTCCTGATCGAACTGTGCCCACCTGAGTGTTCTTGGGACGGGGTGGAGGTCTTGTGGTCATCTTCAGGGACCGCTTCAATAATTGGACAGTTGGTACTGGGACTTTTTCCTCATTTGAAGTGTAGATGACCAAGGTCGGTTGTTCAAATCCATTTTATTGTGTTCCTATTTTCTATCATTAAGTTGGACAGAGTCCTTATGGTTGGAGATTTTAATATCCATGTCAGTGACATCTCCTGCAGATCTGCAGCTGACTGTATAAATCTCACTGAATCTTTTAATTTTGTTCAACATGTGTCCTGTCCTACTCACATTAAGGGTTATACCCTGGATCTTGTTTTTGCACTGGGTTTGAATATTGTCTCTGTTTGCTCAGAAGACCTGCTTTTTACTGACCATGATTGTATTACATTTGATTTGTCATCTATTGCAGATTCTCTGCCCGGTAAGCGTTTGGTCTGTTCTCGCTTCTTAAACAGTCTCTTAGCTGAGAAGTTCTCTGCAGCCTTTGACCCTAGTGCTGTGTTGTCTGGCCATGCCAATGTTGAATCTTTAGTTCATTCTTTTAATGGTCAGTGTTCTGCTATTTTGGAGAAGTTGGCTCCAAGTAAAATAAGATGTGTTTCTGCTATAAAATCGCGCCCTTGGTTTAATGACACTGTTCGCTGTTTCCGGCATAAATGCCGGAGGGCTGAGAGACTGTGGAAATCCACCAAGCTCCATGTTCACCGTCTCTATTACAAGGACCTCATCTTGGAGTTTAACTCCTTGGTTAAGAATGCAAGAGCTTCTTACTTCTCTAACCTAATCTCCTCCAACAAAGGCAACCCAAAAATTCTGTTTGACACTATAAACAACATTGTTAATCCTACACCCCCAAACATCCCCATTTTCTCTAATAATGATTGTAGCTCCTTTCTCTCTTTCTATGTGGGTAA